GTTTGAGCAGCTCGTGGACCACGCGCCCTCAATGCATTCGCCAGCCAGTGGGTGTAACATCCGATATCCGACAGTTTCTTGACTCAGCGCTCGCAGCCTCTGTGTTGGCCAAAGGCCTCGAGCTCTTTTGCGCCATTTGTTCAGGAGCCCTGGAAGAAAGAGGCGCCGGACACGACGCCCCCGTTGCATTCACTTGTCGGTTTAGCCGATGGTGCCATACATTCGATTGGTCCGACGTTCTTACCGCTGGCGCTGGCGAAACTCCCCGAGTTCTGAGTGACTATGTTGCCAGAGCCGGCGGAGATTCTGGCATGGCAGAACGAAAAAGGCAATGGAGAGCCTGACGATTGTGGACGGGGGCCACATATTGGATGGGAGGCCATCGGGATGACCATAGTTGCTGCCACAGTTTGCATCGCTTGCATGGACGCTGACGGCTGTTGTTGCGGCACCATGCGGCACCTCTGCACCTGGGGGCCGAGCAGCAAGGTCGCGTGCCTTGTCACCGCTGGGTGCGGGCGGTCATGATCTGGTCCGTGGCGCGAATTCTGGTTTCAACGAATTCCGCCAATCGGCCTACGTTTCGTTTCGCCTAGCTGGTCTGGCGCGAGCGCGGGGACGACTGGCCGCCGGTTGTCCTGATCCAGGGATGTCAACCCATGACTCTCCTGACGCGCAGCCTGGCCGATAGGTGGGGCCTGATAAGCGACCAAGCGGTATCGGCTTTGATGAACCCCAACCGATTGTCCCAGGAGCGCATCGGCAATCTCCTCGCCAGGTTCGACATCCTGCGGAGCAGGGTGCGGCAATCTGGTCAGTTCATGATCGGCTGCGGGAGACATGGTTACCTTTTGCTGCGCGCGGTGGGGTCGTCGAACATCCAACGCGCCATGATTTTGCAGCACTGCAACATGGCCTACCCCGCGAACGTTCAGCAGCTGTCGCACATGACAAGCCAGTTGCGACGCATTGGGCAGCATTTAAAACATATCCCATGGAAAAGTCGTCGGTCGGCGGGCAGGGGGGGCCTCGCATCCTGTGGGGCCAGAGGTTCGGGGAACGGTGGGGCGTGCGCGGCCGCGGCCTGGCCGCGGGCGCCGCGTTCCGAGGCCGAGCTGGACAAGTCCGAGGACCAGAAGAAGGAACGGCCGCACGTGCCGTGCATCGAAGCGTGGGAAGGAAGAGGAGGAGGAGGAAGTGGAGGAGGAGGAGGAGGACGATGAGGGAAACGAAGAGGATAAAGAGGATGAGGAGGAGGCCTGGGAGGAGGAGGAGGAGGGGGAGGAAGAGGAGGAGGAGGAGGATGAAGAGGAGGAGGAGGAAAAGGAGGAAGACGAGGACGAGGACGAGGACGAGGAGGACGTGGAGGAGGAGGAGGAGGAAACGGAGGAGGAGGAGGACGAGGAGGAGGACGAAGACGAGGACGAGGACGACGACGAGTGGAGGGCCAAAACAAAGAGCGGCCACCCGTGCCGCGTTTCGAAGCTGAATGAGGAGCGGGGGAACGGAACGAAATGGATTTGTAGCGAAACGAATTGCCATTGTTTATTTCGTTCATGGCTTTCCGCCCATCCCGCCACCTTGCTTGGGTTGTGGGCCATAGACACCTAACTAGGTTGTTCGTTGGGATGTTTGTTTTCTAGGGCCCTCTTGGGAGGCTCCTGGGAGGCCTCTTAGGGGGCCGCCTGGGGTCTCTGGGTGCCTGTTGGGGCCTTTTTTTTGTGTGGGGGGGGGGGGCGCGGGCTCGAAACGTCTGTTTAGGGACCGTGTCTGGAGCCCCTTGTGGGAGACTCTTGGAGCGTTTTGGGGTCCCCGTGTGCTGTGCTCGGGCCGTTTTGGGGGTCTGTTGGCCGTTTTGGGGCGATCTTGGGGGCTTCCCGGGCCGTCTTGGAGCGTCAGGAACCCGAATGAGAAACGCTGAACATGCGACAAACACTAGGAACATCAATGATTGTTGCCTCTTGGGGCACTCGTAGGGGTGTTGTTGGAGGCCTCAGGTGCCGTCTTGGAGGTGTCTGCGGCCGTCTCGAGGCTATTGACAGTTATGTTTTGGTGAGTCGGGGTTCTATTGGACCGTGGTGGGCGGGCAAGAACACATTTCAATTGTCAACTCGGCGGCATCCGGCATCCTGTGTGTAAAGACCAATCGGTGGAGGTGGCCAGGACACGTTTCTGGCGTCTTCGGGGGAGAGGAGAGTAGTGTTCATATTGTGTATTTGTGGAAGGGGGGGGAATGGGGAGGGGGGCGGGGAGCGCGGGTGGTGGGTTGGGAAAGGGGGTGGGGGGAAGGGGAGGGGGTGGGGCGAACTAGGTGCGTTAGCGTCACATCTGACGTCCTACCCCTTCCCTGGCCGTGGCGTAGATCTTCTATCTATTCGTACAAATCGGATTTCGAGCTGGGCAATCATCCCAACAGGGTACAATGCACGGACATGAGGGCGGCGCTGCAGCGGGAACACCATTTTGGGAGAACCAGAAACGGCCGGATGGATACGCGGAGAGGACGGGACATTCTCTGGACAGAGTCAGGGGAGAGAGGAGACTAGTAGCCATAATGAGCAACAGTGGAGGGGGGAGGGAGGAGGGTGAGGGTGGGAAGGAGGAGGATGAGGAAGAGCATCGCTGAGGAGTATCGCGGTCGAAGGAGTAGCCAGGAGGCGCAGGCGTGCCGAAGATCTCGTCGCTGAATTTCGCCAGACGGGCCGACCGTTGGCCCTTCAAAGGGTGGATCCTCCCCACGGGAGCGGATCGTCCACGGATGCGCTGCATCTCAAGCCTGCTGTTCACGCTTGCGCCCTTCTCGCACGGGCTGATGCACCGCTGTAGCTCATGCCACTGCCTGCTTTCTCGCACGAGCCCCCGTTGGCAACAGAGTTCCTGCTGCCAAAGCCTGCTTTCTGTCGTGTGCTCCACTGCAGCCCCGTGCTTGTTGCACGCACACTTTTGAGCCGCCTTCGTACGGGCTAGTCCCAACTCTGTAGCTGATCGCGTCTGCTGCCACTGTCCTCTGCCGGCTTTCACGATGGGCCCAGCAGTGTAGTTGATGACGTTGTGCTCGCGTCCTGCCTCCACTCCTTTTGCCACTGCCTGCCACTTCCTGCCCTTCTTTTGCCACTGCCTGCCTTGGAACCGCTGCTGAAACCGACCCACTTTGACTGAATCTGATAGCTGTTTGGCTGCGCTGACTGTCAGTACCCGCTGCCGCTGCCCGCTTTCCATCACTGGCAGCGCTGGCTGCCTCTGCCTGCTTTCTCGTACGAGCTAGCTGATCTCTGCACCGTAGCTGAAGATCCTCTCCTGCGCATGCCGCTCTCGCACGCGCACTCTTGAGCCTCCCAGGGACGAGCTGACCCCAGCGCTGTGCTTGGTCACGTTTGCTGCCATTGTCCGCTGTCCGCGCAAGCGATGATTTTATTTGTTCATTTGATGACGTTTAGCTCGTGTTCTTGTTCCTCCCATTGGTCATTTGTCGCACAATCCGTCCTCACCGTTGTGGCTGATGATGTCTGCGCTCCCATTTTCGCACGACCTGTTCCCAGCGTTGATGCCCATGATGCCGGCTCGCACGCTCTCGCTCGACACGTTCCCATCATTGTAGCTGATGATGTCAGCTCGCACTTCCTCGCACGAACGGTTCCCGTCCTTGGTGTCGGGCCCCTTGCTCCGGCTGCACCCTCCGCGTGAACTCCCGTGGTTCCCCCGAGAGGAGCGCGACCGTGCCGCACTTGCATGCGGCGGCGCCTGTTTAACTGCAGGGCGAGGGTGGCTGGGGAAGGTTCGGGGGAGCGTAAGACCCGGGTTTGCCAGGACTCGGGTTCGCCATTTTTTTTTTGACGACCGCGACTCGGATTTTGACGAGTAGAAGTTTCGTGGGATGTCTGCAGCGGGAGGCCTCGTCAAAATGCAGGCTCGGCCTCGTCATTTTTGTTGACGACCTCGTCGGGGATTTCCGAGTCCCCCGTACCCGGGTCTTACGTCTCCCCGAAAGGTGGGGACGGGAGCGGAGCGAGGGGGACAACGGCCATCGCTAGGCTCTCGATGCTTCGTGGGGCTGGTGCGGGGGCCGTGTTACTGCCCGCGCCGCGCACAACTCGGGACCTCCCCTGCCCGAGAGGAATGACTGAGGAGGGGGACGAGGAGAGGGAGGGAGGGATGGAGGGAGGGAGGGAGGAGGAGGAGGAGGAGGAGGAGGGGGAGGAGGAGGAGGAGGAGGAGGAGGAGGAGGAGGAGGAGGGGGAGGAGGAGGAGGAGGAGGAGGAGGAGGAGGAGGAGGAAGAGGAGGAGGAGGAGAAGGAGGAGAAGAAGGAGGAGGAGGAGGAGGAGGAGGATGAGGAGGAGGACTAGTGGAAACACAAGAGTCATCAACGATGTTGGAATTAACCCTTCCTCCAAGCTCCCTCTTCATAGGCCCCTACAACGGTTCATTTCCATTGAAGGAACTGCTTCGCTGGAAGACAACAGTTTGAAGATTCTGAAGTGTGCCAAAACATTGTTCTCGGGATTTCAACGCCACGTATCAACCTGACTGCTGCATCTCGACGATCCAGAATCGTGCCAGAACACCATTTTGGGGACTTCGGCACAGCGAATCAACCTAACTGTTGCGCCCGCATAATCCTGAATCCTTCCAAAACACCATGTCTGGTACGCTCATCATTGGAACCCGTGAAAAGTCTCGCAATCAAAAACTAATGCACGCGGCGTTGAGGCGAGAGCCACATTTTGAAAAGGAACCGCCCTCAATCAGTGAAATTCTCTCGCAAAGTTTAATACGAATGTGCGCGGCGCTGAGGCGAGAGTTGCACTTGGAAACCGACCCGCCCTCAATCTGTGAAACTCTTGCAAATTTCACAAGCGAATGCGCGCGGCGCTAAGGCGAGAGCCACATTTTGAAAACGACCCGCCCTCCATATGTGAAGCTGTTGCAAACTTTAGAAACGAGTGTGCGCGACGCTAAGGCGAGAGCCACATTGAAAAAAACGGCCCACGCTCAATCCGTGAAATTCTTGCAACGTTTTAGCAAGAATGTGCGCGGCGCCAAAGCAAGAGCCACATTTTGAAAACCACCCGCCCTCAACTGTTTGAGCTTCAGCGTCATACATGGTGGGGAAGTCTCATGCGAAACGCCCGGCCTGCCCTAAGAATTGGCCTCGGGGTGCGACAGGGAGGAGTTATCTATAAGGAGAAGGAATGGAGGAGGAGATGGAGGAGGAAGAACTGGGGGGGAAAGGGCTGGCTTTGTGCTTCTCTTTCAGGCATCCCGAATGGGTTTCGAGCAGATAGGGTCGGAGGATCGTGCCGCAGCGCCGACGCAACGGCGATGCGGCTCGATGTGGGGCCCGATGTTCTCCACGACGGCGCTGATGCATCGCCGACCTCGCCGATGTGCCGCCGATGCGTCGCGGATGCGTCGGCGATGCATCGGCGATGCATCGGTGATGCATCGGTGATGCATCGGCGAAGCGGCGCGATGCTCCGACCCCACCTGTTCGGACCGAATTTGGAGGCCTCCATTTCTTGAGCCTCCTGGGGCGAACTCGTCGCCACGGCCGGATCGGCCTCGAAGGTTCTGGTCCGAACGTGCCCTTGGACGGGTCTGCGGGCCGATTTTGCCTCCCCTCCCCCCCGAGCTCCTGGAGGTTGGTTCCTCGTTTTCCTCCTCCTCCTCTTCCCCCTCCTCCTCCTCTTCCTCTTCCTGTGGCGCTGCTCAGCTTGCATGCGCCCTTCCGCCCAGGACGGTGAGGTCGATAGATCGCTTTGGAGTCCCCGTCCCATCAGGTGGGATGTTGGGATGCCCTCTCCCCTGGCGGTGGCGGAAGTGGTTTGGCGCGAGACCCACTGCGCTGCTGGGGGGGTCGGTAATGAGCCAACCTGGCCCAGGCACGGACAAGTTCTGTGGTACCCCTGTGCTGCACGTCGAGGTGCATGGACCGATGTCGCGCCCTCCCTCTGCAGAGCGCGAGATCGGCGCGCAAACCTTCTTGCCTGATGCGCTTTTTGCTCTCTTGGAGGCGAATCGACGTCGTAGCGATTTACGAGCAGAAATTGCAGATTGTGCTACAGCTTCACAGGTGGATGGGCACCTCCAGGGTTTTCGTTGGGCAGTTTCGTGAGTTTTTGTTTGATGGTAGCACGTTCTTGCGTATCTTTCAGTTTATACAGAGAATGGTTGAGGGCATATTCTCTTCAAAACGAGGCTCCCGCCTGGCTTGCAAGCCATGCGGCGCTCGAATTGTAAGTGCGATTCGTGTTCAAAGGATGTTCTGGGCTTCTGTGAAGGGGGCTTGGGCCATGGGACGGGCAGTTGTATTTCAGCTTAGTTGGTGCATCGTGGGTTTGCCTTCGTCCTCCTCCTCGCCCATCTCCTGCGAAAGGAGCTCGAGCGCGGTATCGAGGTCTCCAACACGGCCATCGATGACCTCAAGGCGGCGATCGCCACCTGGACTCAGGAGATCGCCGACCTCAAGGCTCTACGGGACGCATCGGCCCAGGGAGCAAGAAGAGTGGGAGGAAGAGGAGGAGGGGGAGGATCAGGAGGAGGACGAGGAGGAGGAGGCGGAGGAGGATGAAGTGGGGCGGGAACTGTTTTCGTGTTCATATGGTTTCGATGTTTTTTTGAGTTACCTGTATGTTGTTAGGCCCCAGGCTGTCTTCCGCTTCTGGGAGCCCTCGATGAGGCCGCGACGATTCTGGGGAATCTGCGGCTGACGTGCTTTTTAGAAGGAGTGCACCCCTCTCGGAGGCTGGCATTTCACACGTGCCCACCGCCTGAAGTAGGCGGTCGACATGCACATGTGGATCTGTTCGGGCCCCGGGGAACCAACCATGCCCGCTTCGCACCATCTGCGGTCAGGAGGCGGGGGCCGACGGAAGGAGACCGGATGTCAGCAAAAGCGGATTTAAGTTGAAAGCAGGGATCGCGCGACATTGATAATGGCGATGAAGATGATGAGACCAATGTTGCATTATGATGAGGAAGGGTTTTGAGGAAAACATGGTCCAAGGTAATCCCATGGAATCAAGCCTCCCCCCCCCGCTGGATGGGTACGCCCGTGAGCCTCGTGAAGGCCTCGCGAATGGAATCGGACCCCCCCCCTGTGGTCGTGGCCTTGTGGGCGTGGCGTGGTGGAGGTTGCTGGTGCAATCCCCGCCCTCCCCTGTGGGTGTGGGGTGGTTCGTCGTCGTCGTCGTCGGCCGCGCCAGCGGCGGCGGCGTCGGCGGCGTCGGCGCAGGCGTCGTCGTCCCCCTCCCCATCCCATCTGGGGGGGGGGCTGTGGGGGCTGTGGAACAATGAAACCCATCCCATCTGGGGGGGGGGGGCTGTGAACCCTCGACCCGGGATCGCATATGGCAATACAACCTCGATGGGAAGGTGGAGGAAGCAGAGGCCCTGGGATATTCAATCATCAAGTCGGTCGAGTCGGTCACTTCGGTGTAGCCTGGAATTCCGGCGGAGCAGCCAGGAGGCAGGGATGGGGCAATACGGAGGCGGCCAGGTAGGCGGAGGGAAGAGATTGGATGGGACGGTGTACCCACATGGAGGGAGGAGGATACTGACGCTACGTCCATACTTCGCCTGAGGCATGGTTGCGGACCACAACTTGGAGGAGAGGAGGGCGGAGGTGGGAGGGGGACGAGAGGATGGGGAGGTAAGAGGAGGAGAGGACGGAGGAGGAAGAACAGGAGGAGAGGAGTGAGGAGTCTGGAGTGCGGAGGCAGCAGCAGCAGGAGTGGGTGCCCGCTGCCGCCCCACCGCCACTCTGCGGACGTCGCCGCGGCAGCCCCTGCCGACCAGGCCTCCATCGCCGCGCTGGACAAGTCCGTCGCGGAGGCCACCAAGCTCCGACAGGACCGCGCACCCTCCGGTCTGCTCGACTCCTGTCCGATCCTCTCGATTCTGGGCGGCCTGACCTGGCATCGAACCGATGCAGCCCGATGTCTGCACTGCTTTGCTGTACATCCTGGCGCTGCCGATCCGATGCGATATCGAGTGCGTGCCGATGCAGCCCGGCACGACGCACAGTCGGTTTGGATCCGTTTTCCCGATTCGATGCTGACAGGTTCGTATCCCCACCAGCTCGTTTCGTTCCTGGCTCTTCTTCTGAGTGGCTGCCCGCGCGCTCGCTTGCCTTGCCTCTCTTCTCTTGCTGCCTAGTCGCGGCTCGACTGGTGTTCGGGTGTTCGGACGGCTTTCGACCTGCTTCGCGAGCCCGCAGACCAAACAAAGTATCCCCACCAGCCATTTTAGGCCTTCAGCTGCAGCTGCAAAAGGAACGCGCCCCCTCCTGGAGACAGCATCGTGGCGATAGTTGGCAGCGCTGCAGAGGGCGCGCCCGCGCTCGGAGACGCCCCCCAAAATTCTGACACTCAGGAAGATGTATCCAACAGTGCCACCTTCACTTGCAAAAGGAATGCGAACCCTCCTGGAGACAGCATCGTGGCGATAGTTGGCAGCGCTGCAGAGGGCGCCCCCGCGGTCGGAGACTTTCTTCCCAATTCAGACACTCAAGAAGTTGTATCCGAAAGTGCGGCCTTCAACTGCAAAAGTCCCCTGGGAGAGATCGAGATTGATCAGGTGGTCGTTTGCAACAGCGTGTCGGTTCCTCCGCCTCCTGGAGACCGGCAGGCGGACCCCCACAATGCTCCTCACTCCTATCAGCGTCCCTGGGGCAGGTTCGCGGGGGAGGCCGGGAATACACTCGAAAACGCTCCCCCTCCTGGAAACAGTATCGCGGCGATGGTTGGGGGTGCCCGGGGTGCTGCAGAGGGCGCGCCCGCGCTCGGATACGTTCGTCACACATTTGTGACAATCAGGACTTTGTTTCCGAAAATGCAGCCTTCAGCTGCAACAGTCCTTCTGCGCGTGGTCGTCAGCTACAGCGTGTCGGCCCCTGCCTTTCCTGCTGACCAGCAGCTGGGCCCACTTAGTACTCCTCACTCCTATCAGCGTCCTTGGCCCCGGGGCAGCTTCGCGGATGAGGCTGGAAATGCGCTCGAAAGCGCGCCCCCTCCTGGAGACAGTATCGCGGCGATGTTGGGGAGTACTTCAGGGTGCGCGCCCGCGTTCGGATACGTCCCTCTCAACATACAGGCTCTGGAGTTTGTGTGTGAAAGTGCAGCCGTTCGGTGCAACAGTCCTCTTGGAGAGCTTCAGACTTATCAGGTGGTCGTCAGCCACAGCGTGTCGGTCCGTCCCCCTCCTGGACACATTCAGACTGGCGCTCCTACGACTTCTCACTCCTATCAGTGCCCGGGGAGCAGAATTTTGGTGAAGGCCGAAAATGCGCCCCCTCCCGGAGACAGCACCGTGGCGACAGCTCGGACTGCTGCGAATGGCGCGCCCGAGATCGGATACCCTCCACACGACCCAGGGCACTCACGACCGGATTGCGCGCCTGACTCCTGGCTGTGCGCGGGCTTCTGACGGGCGCGTCTTCGCGATCGGCGCAGACGCTCTGGCCGACGGTTCCGAAGTCCCCACCCCCGTGGCTGACGGCTACTATGGAACCCGCTACCTGGAAAGTCTGGGGCTGTCGTTGCACCCGGTCGGCGGCGAGACCCTGCGACGCCCAGCTGTGACTCCGCCCGCAGTCGCCCATGCGGCGCCCGAACACCCCCCGCTGGGGGGCCACGGGCCAGCCCAGCAGAGGCAGGACATCGAAGCCATCCGGCAACTCGTCGAGAGAAGTCCCTTCGCGCCCATTCGCCCTCCTTCCCCTGTCAGTAAATCCACCCGAGGGGACGGCGAACCTCACCCGCACCGTCCAGAAGCCCGGGCCACGCCAGAGAAGGAGACTTCTGATCTGGCGACAGAAACGGTGTCAGCGAACGTGCATGCAGCTGGTACGACCGACGGTATTCCCACATCTGGCGATAGCGCGGCGGCAGATGGGGGCACGCCCGTGAGCAAGGGCGGGAACGGGTCCGAAGGCGAACGCCAGCGAAAGTGGCCTGTCCCCGCACACCTCAGTGCAACGTTCCTCTCTGCCCGAGCTGCCAGAGGAGATCCGGCCCCTGCCTGGCGCCCAGTTGTTCGGCCCGCGCCAATTCGCATGGCCCCGCCAGGCGTCCCTGCCCCAGCTGCTGCCGCGCCGCTCGACGTCATGTGCGGCTCTTGCGGCGGGCCCAACCAATCGGAAATGCCGCAAACAGAGATCGAACGCTCTGTCAAGGACAGCGGGGCTGGTTCGCCGGAGACCTACTGCAGAACGCGTGGCAGCGCAGACAGCAGGACCAGGGGCGGGCGCGACCGAGTAGAGAGCCAGAGCAGCATGCGGAGCAGTCGCCGGAAGAGCCGGTTGCACAGGAGCTGCCCGCCGCCCACGGGGCGGGCGCGGAAGCGGCGCCAGCGCAGGACTTGGAACGCGGACATACACAGGAACAGGCAGACGCCCGCCGCCACATTCCCCTGGCTTCCACTTCTAACCTTGGTTCCCCCCTCTGGCAATGCCGCGAGCTCGAGCGCCGATGGGCGACGGCAGCGCGGCCGGAACGCGCCCCCAGCGCGTCTGCCTGGCAGCGGGTGGGCAACCTGCCTGGCTTCCGCGACCGGCGACTCTCCAGTTTCCCCGCCGCCCTCGGGTCGAAACCTGCCCCCGGCGACGCCGACCGCGACGGCGGGCCCGGCAGACGGCAGACAACGGGCGGCGGGCGCGCCAGCGGCAGCGGCAGCAGAAGCAGCAGCAGCAGCGGCAGCAGCCACCGCGCCAATGACCAGCCGCTGACCACCCCGCCGTTGGTAGCGGGGCCCGCCGCGTGCCAATGGCCAGAACCCTTAGACCTCGACGCGGGGCAGCAGCTGCATGAAGCCAAGAGCGGCGGCGCCCAGTGGGACGCCCCCGGGGGGGGCACCTGGCACGATGACGGGGCGGATTAGTGTAACCCTCGGGGCGATGTTCACAGGCGCCCGGCACGCGTTCGCCGGGCAGCGCGCCGCGCCCGGCAGCAAAGGCGCGCTCGACCCGCGACGGCGCGACCAGCAAACTTGCATCAACTTCTTTGTCCTCCGCCCGCAGCCACAACTGCGACGCGCGGGCCGTGAACGACGCGCTGGACCTCGGCGTTGACTGGGCTTAGCTGCGGCGTCGGCACCCGGGTGGAAGTGGCGGCGCGGGCAGGGGGCGCCAGGCGGCGAGGGGCCACGCTGGCAGTCGTGCACCCAAGGGGGGGGCAAGAAACAGTGGAAGGTCTAAAGCTCTGCGGGCGCGCCTGCCCTCGTTTCGCACGCGTCTGCCGCCGCCTTGCCCTTCCTGCCCCTCGCCGCCCGCTGCTCGCCGATGGCCCCGTCGCCCCTCGCCGGCTGCCCCCGGCGGCTGCGGCGGCCAGGGCGGCTCGCGCGCGTGCCCCCGCGAGGGCCTTCGGGCGAGTCGGCGCAGCGCGTGATCGCCGGCCCGCGCCGCGCGCCGCCTG